TGGCCTGATCACCCCCAACTGCCCTCCCCTGCTGGCCTGGTTGCCCCCAACTGCCCTTTCCTGCTGGCCTGATCACCCCTAACTGCCCTCCCCTGCTGGCCTATTTGCCCACAACTTCCCTCCCCTGCAGGCCATCTTGTGGTGGCCATCTTTGACCACATGGGGGCAGCTATCTTGTGTGTTGGAGTGATGGTCAATTTGCATACTGGTCATGACTAATTAGCATACCAGGGCTAATTAGCATATCCCTCTCATTATTTGTGTTGGAGTGATGGCCAATTTGCATACTAGTCATGACTAATTAGCATATCCGGTCGTGACCAATTTGCATATTACCCTTTTATTAGTATAGATTATTCCTTAGATTCCTCCTGTCTCTGAAAGTTGGGTTGTGTTTCCAAGACTTTCTGCTCATTCTGATGGTAAAGGCAATTTCTCTATTTGTGTTTGAGCCCAACAAACAACAAACAGTATCATAGTAACTTAGGCTGTTGACTATTCATTCTCCAATTCACCTTTTAAGCTATTTCAATCTACTCTCTTTTCCTTTAGTTATTAAATCACTAATGTGTTTTAGATTTTTAAAATTTGCAGGCTGTCTCACTGTATGGCTTCTCTGAGCAGAACTTATTTATAAATCTATTTGTAAAATGTGATTATTCAGATGCTTAGATTTTTCATCTTTACCTACCTGGCATGGCTTAAAAACATTGTTTTACATGGATTTAAAATAGTGCTTTTTTTCTCTTTCTAGGTCTTTTATTTGAATTGGGTGATGCAATTTTTAGGCTAAAATGGTTTTCTACTTTTTCATGATAGCATGATCTTATTTTTTTTCCACCTCAAAATGTAAGTCTTTTCTTCCTTGGCCCTGCTCTTGACCCTTAAATGTATTCTCATTTCTTGTACTTCTGCCTTTTCTTGTGTTTCTCACCAGTCTCTTACAGTGGTCTAAAATCTACAACTCTTATGTCAAAGGATAGGGCCAAGTTTCAATTTAGAGATCCCCTTCATTCTCTTTACTTTTCACATTGTTTCATGCTTTCCAGGTAATTAGGTCATTGTAGACATGCCTCACCTGAAATGAAGAACAGTGCCTTGCTTATAGTAGGCATTCATTAAATATTTGTTAAGTGGATGAATTTATTTCATAATCTTATGAACATTCATAAACCAAGAGATGTTAAGACACCTAAAGCCTAGAAATTAGGGCCGGCCAGCTCTAGGACTTTAGACCAGATTTTACCAAAAACCTTGTTAAAATATGATGGGGGAGAGCCTTCTCTTAATACATACATAGAGTTTTGGTAGAGAGTATAAAAGAGAATCAAGCCAAATTAGTCACCAGAATTTAGTAAAGTGTACAAAGTTATATACTAATTTCTTAAAACAGAAGCCTTGATTTCTGTTTTAATACATGAAAGCAAAAGCTTCTCAAGTTAGAATACTTAGATATGTTTTCTGTATTACAGTTATTTTTAATCTTCCATGGGTTATACATATTAAAGGTACTTAATGAAAAATTCAGAGTGAATGAATGGATGGATGAAATGAGTGTCTAACAGAAATGTGAAGGCATTGAACCTGAATAGACATCATGGGAGAGGAGAAAAAATTGAGAGTTGGAATCCTGGCTGCTCTTCTACCTACCTGTGTAATCTGGGATAATGTACCTTAATTTCTCTGAGCTTCTGCTTCCTGCCCTAAAAAATGAGAATATATATACTTATGCCACTAGCCTTCATTGATGGAAGTTATAAAAAAAAAAAAAAACTGTGTTTACTACATCCCCCAAGTGTCTTCATTTTGAGGCCTGGGTAATGGTATTACTATCAACCTTACTTCTGCAGCCCTAAGAAAATTGGTTTGTCTCGTATAAATAGAGTAAATTATGTAATTGATGATGTTTTCTTTTTTGCATTAATTTCTGAAGAACATGGAACTAGATTTTCAGCCCACTTCTAGCAAAATATGCAGTCCTAACCATGTATTTGAAGTATTAACACTCTTCCCTGCCAACATCTTATTTCTCCTCACAGATTACATAATCTTATTGGCTTAGTTCTCAAATTTGGATATATCCTTGTAACCTGGCTCAAATTTTTTTTGAAACAAGACAGTGAAAAAGAAAGAAGAAAAAAAAAATACAGGAGGGAGGTAGATAGAGAGACAGGCAGACAAAAAGGAAGGAAGGGAAGTGAAGAGAAGATAAGGCAGTCAGATAGCCAGGCCCTACCTCTGAGGGTTATCGTGATGTATAAATGAGATTGTGTTTGCTTATACAGTTAAGGCCTCAACATTTTATATTATCCTTCTGAGAACCCAATGGACCAAGGCCTTTTTAAATAGATAAGGTAAATAATAATAAAATTAATTTTTATTGATAGTAAAATATATGTTCAAGGAATTTTAAAAATAACTATCTATATATCTATAATAATAAAAGCATAATATGCTAATTAGACCAGACATCCTTCCAGATGACCTTCTGGATGAAGCCAGGTTTGCAAGGGAAGCCCAGGTCCTGAGTGCCTGTCGGCAGCCAGAGGGAAGCCCGGGTCCTGGGTGCCAGAGGGAAGCCAGTGCCAGCAGCCGGGGAAGGAAGGCCTACTCTTGCACGAATTTCATGCATCTGGCCTCTAGTATCCTATATAATAAAGAGGTAATATGCAAATTGACTGTCACACCCTTGCACAGGATGGCTGCCCCCATTTGGGCACAAGGTGGCCAGCAGGGAAGGGCAGTTGGGGGCGACCAGGCCTGCAGAGGGGGCAGTTGGGGGCAATCGGGCCGGCAGGGAAGCACTTAGGCATCAATCAGGCTGGCAGGGGAGTGGTTAGGGCAGCCGTGGGCAAACTACGGCCCGCGGGCCGGATCCGGCCCGTTTGAAATGAATAAAACTAAAAAAAAAAAAAGACCGTACCCTTGTATTTAATTCCACAATTTTTAAATGATTCTCCCTGGAGTTTCCACTGGTACACAAGGTGACAAGGAGGTGGGATAGTGGAGGCAGGAGAACATTTGGGGTTTTTTCAACCAAAGGCTCCCAGAATTGGTCTTATGGTTTTGTTTTCATTTGTTCACTTTTATTTACATGTAAAGTTTCTGTTCACAAAGGATCACATGGGGAAAAAAACGTTTGAAAGCACTGATATATGTACATGACAGGATAGTAAGTTGGTGAATTATGGATGTGGATTTACAAAATTAAGCATAATGCATTTTTGGCCTGCAGATTTAAGTGTTAAAATTGTCTCCATTTTTGTGTGCTTGTTGGTTGCCACTAGGAACAAGTACAGCATTATAGAATAATGTAAAAATGTAGAAAAGGAAATCAATTTAAAACATCCTGTCACAAATTTAAAATATTTTTTAAAATCAGTAGTTTCACTAACATGCCCAAAATATAATTATAGAAATACCCCATCCTCCACACTCCCACCCACCCCACCAGGAAATACAGTAAGATTTAGTGAAAGTCTTATTTGAAACATACTGGTGTGGATTAGCTAGGGGCATTATATTCTCCAATATAATCCATTTTATGTTTCATTCTCTTTCTATCCATCCAAGGCAGCAGTAATGCACGGGAAAAGAGAAGTAACTCTAGCACTGGCATTACATTTCTCAGCAAAACTAGACTTTCTGAGAAGAGAACACCTAAAAGCCCCTCAGATTCCCATATATTGATTATTAGTCAAATTTTCTTTCTTTTTCTCTAAATGTTTACAGAACTTTGATAACATCCTTGTAAGTTATAAAGTGTATCTTTTGTGCTGGCCAAATATATTAATTTTAAATATGAACATGACAATGTGTCTAAAAGACATCTAGATGAAAGTTAAGTGGGTTTTTTTTTACTTTTATATTGCTGTGTGGCAAACTACTCCAAAGTTTAGTGATTTAAAACAATCATGTTATCATCTCTTTTGACTCTGTTGGTTTAATGGGCACAGCTGGGTGATTCTTCTGCTCCATGTGATGTTAACTAGATTGTGGACACCTGGGGGCTCACATGGGCTGAAACATCCAGAATGGCCTAGTCAGGTGGCTGGCAGTTGAAACTGCCTGTCAGCTGGAGGCACAGCAGGAACTGTTAACCAGAGCATCCAGTTCCCCTTCATTGGCTTCTTCATGTGACTTGGACATCTCACTGCATGGCAGTGAGAGGGAACATCCCAAGAATGAGCATTCCAAAAGGAAGAAAGCAGAAGTTTCTAATTGAGACATAGATTTTCTAGCCTTCTAAATGGTCAAAGCAGTCACAGGATCAGGCCAGGTTCCAGGGGAGGGAAATCAGCTCTGCTCCAAATGTAAGCAGCAGTACATAATAGGGAGAGGAGAGACTGGTGAGAGCCATCTTCAGACACCACCATATGGAAGGTTAAAAAACAAAAACAAAACAAAAAACTATTTCTTACAATTTTGAAAGATAGTTATAAATTATGAGGGATGCAGAGAAATAGTTCTTCACTTAATAAATGGAAATTGCTCTTTAAAGAAATTGGCACATTAAGAATTAACATGCACAACAGTCATTCCTTATGTTCTTCCCCTCTGCAGATCTGTTGCCTAAAGCAATAAAAAATGGCCAGAGGATCAGTGTCTGATGAAGAAATGATGGAGCTCAGAGAAGCTTTTGCCAAAGTTGGTGAGTAGATCTGGTACCTCAAGTGGCACAATTCTCTTCTTTATGACTTCAGGACAGATTCATTGAAATGGTAAAATGAAAAAAAAAATAGCAGAAGTAGCAAGAATACAATGGTATTGGTTAAAGGAGTTAGGGAATTTAATTCTGAAAGATATCTTTCAAGAAAATGCTTCTTTCTCTATCAAAACATGAAATATGGGCCCTTTCTTACCTGTAGCTTTTCCTGGAAATGGCTCTTAAGTCTCATCTTTTTATTGCATCTACTTTCTTTGTTGTTATTGTTTTCTATGTGTGTTTTTTTGTATAATTTATTTATTTCATAATACTTTTTTATTATATCATTTTTTATTTATTTTTTTACAAACCAAGCTTGACAATTTGGAAATCCCTTTGTACAGTTTATAAAATAATGACTTCTAAATAAAGGCCTGGATTCACCAGCAGACCAAGCAATTATGTAAACAATTTCTGTTCACCAATATGGTTCCCTGTCATTGCATTTTCAAGTCAAATTGCTTCCATAAGGTGGAACAGCACTACATATGATGCATATCTTTGAAACGTTAGCTATCAGACATGGTAGGTTGCCAGGCACCTGTCGCCCTAATGACAAGGAAGGTATCCTTTGTTATGTTTCTACTTCTGATTTACACTCAGAGGAGAGTCAGCTGAAAGACAGAAGTACTGCAGGGTCAATTGTATCCTTGTATCATTTCTCCTGCTTTCAGTGGTGTTTATTCTCTGAATTCTCATACTTTTTCTTACTCCTTATCTCTAAGCCTATGATTTATTATTATTTTCTCATCTGATTTTATTAGAGACCCTTTAGATTCTGTTGCCAGACCTCTATTTTGAAATTATGACTCCTGAATGTTGAAAGTGATGTTAAGGAACATATCCAATAGCAATAGGCCTCTTGTGAGAGTCCAACTCTTGCACAGGATCAGGTCATCACCCCTGAATGATTGCTCTGCTGCCTGTTCACTTCTAACCTAGCCCTCGCTCACTTTTCTTCATGCTCTTAGTTGAATTGCTCTGAAACTACAATTTGTCATTTGCCTTACAGATACTGATGGGAATGGGTACATCAGCTGCAATGAGTTGAATGACCTGTTCAAGGCTGCTTGCTTGCCTCTGCCTGGATACAGAGTGAGAGAAATTACAGAAAACTTGATGGCTACAGGTGATCTGGACAAGGATGGAAGGATCAGTTTTGATGAGTTTATGAAGGTATGATGCATAATACAAGGAGATGCATTTGAAACTTGGAACTTTAATTCAAAAAAATATACAGAAATGTATTTCCACTCTTCAACATTATGTATTCTTTGTGGTTTTCTTGACCACATATTGGATTTCTATAGATACACTAGGGGCCCAGTGCACAAATTCCTGCACCTTGAAAGGAACTGTGGGCCACGAGGCTGCGGTGGGCACAGGGGCAGGTCTCGGCCCATCCTCCACGCCCCCGCCCAGCCCCTCCCCCGGTCCCCTGTCTGCTGGCAGCCCCACTCCCTCCACCACAGTTCCCATGCACTGACAGCACCGGCTCCACTCACACCCGCTGACAGTGCAGAGCGATTGCGGCCGGCGCCGGGAGGGGCGCAAGTGGGGCCAGCACTGTCAGTGGGTGCGAGCGGCAGCTGCTGCCCCGATCGCCCTTCAGGAGCATGGGGTGGTGGAGAAGCCCTCAGGGGCGATCATGGCCGGCAGCCGCCGCTTGCACCCGCTGATGGCACCAAGCTATTGGGACCAGTGCCAGGCACTGGCAGTGAGTGTGAGTGGTGGCTCCAGTGCCAGCATCAGGTGTGAGTGGAGCCAGTGCAGGTGCAAGCGCCGGGTAGGACTGTGGCGGACCACTGTGCACAGGAGCAAAGAATTTTCAGTAACCACCAGAGGCTCGTCTCAATGACAGCAACCAGTGCCCCGCCTTGGTCTGGCACCCCTGCTCACCTGCTCCACCATCCTGCCATGGCCAACGCCTGCCATGTTCCGCACATGCCCCCTGGTGGTCAGCGCACATCATAGCGACCGGTTGTTTGGTTGTTCCGGTTGTTCTGCCATTCAGTCTATTTGCATGTTAGCCTTTTATTATATAGGATTATATTTTTGCAGGTTTTTCATGGCCTAAAAAGCACCGACGTTGCCAAGACCTTTAGAAAAGCAATCAATAAGAAGGAAGGGATTTGTGCAATTGGTGGTACTTCAGAGCAGTCTAGTGTTGACACCCAACACTCCTATTCAGGTAAGTTGTACTAATGGGTGTGGCATGGAGGTAGAGAGGGTATTGGGATGAGGTAAGAGCTGAGGGCAGAGGGAGAGGGAACCATGTAGAAAGGATGTCTTTTGGGATTACAGATTCTAAACTTAGTATTCAGACTTAAGGGATACAAAGAAAGATAGAAGTTAAGATTAATTTATTGACTATTGCCTATTTTTCATTGCATAAGTGGGCCCGTAGTTCCAGCTCTAGGTAGGGCCCAATACCAAATAATCTTTTTTTTAATCTTTATTTTTCAGATTATTACAGATGTTCCTCTTTTTCCTCCCATAGCTCCCCTCCACCTGGTTCCCACCCCAC